ACACATTGAGTCCGTGTTTCTGGAAGGTGTCTGTTGATCTTTGTAGCCATCGGATGTCCCAGGTTCCCTCTATGCTTGGTGTGCCCGTGGTAGTTATGATGAATTAGATGTGTTGTAGTTTTCCCTGGAGCTGGGCCTTTGGTTGAGTTGGTGACTGGCTTTGTTTATTTAGACTCTTAAGTACTGAGAGCTCCCATGTCTTCTTGGGGCCTCTGTTGTGGGGGTGGGATCTCCCCTTCCCCACAGGAGTGCAGGGGAGTGCCAGAAAGCTGAAGTCCTCCTGGCTGAGCAGTCTGCCAGTCCTCCCTTTGAGCTTTCAGGGCTTTTTTTTTGTTTAGTCCAAATAGTCCCACCCAGAGCAGTGCCTCCCCCCTGCCTGAGGTCCTTTCACAGAGCCCAGCAGTATCTCTGTAACTCCAGGGTTTTACCACAGTTTTTTTTTGGTAGTTGTGGTAAGCAGGTAGACCCCTGAGCAAGTCTCCCCGTTTGAAGCACTTCCTAGGGCCTCTCTATGTTAAATGTGCCCTTGCAAGGTTGTTAAAATTGCTGCATTATCCTAGGGTTGGGCCTGTGTTTGGATCCTGCCCCGCCACCGGCAGCAGCTTGTGATCCACTCACCTAGCTGTGTTGTCTCAGTTTATATCCAGGGCTTTGTCAGGGCTGCTGGGGCAAAGGTCATCAACAGGTCTGGGAAGTATCCTCAGGTCTCTGGTTCTGAGCTGCAGCCTTTCCCCACCATTTGGTTTCCCCTCCCTAGCTGAATTGTCTCAGTTTATCTCCAGGAGAAAAGGCTGTGGAGAAGCCGCAGCTGCTGCCTCAGGCAGATTGCCTCTGCAACTAGCTTCCTGCCGTCTGCCTGCCTAGATTTTTAAAGGAGCCGAGCGAGTTGGAAGCCACTGGCATTCCTGGATCAGTTCCTGCCTGTGCTGCTTCCCTTATAGGAACTCCCCAATCGCCGGTTCTCCCTCGGTTATTTTCCTTCTAGTGAGTCCAGAACATTCTCATTTGGGTTGAAACTCGTAGCATGAAAGTCTATAGTCCGTTTTCGCATAATCCCGTGCAAGTTTGGATGTAGTCATCTTGGCGTCTTTATTCTGCCGCTATCTTGCCGGTTCCCGAGCTGGTCGTGCTGATCAGTGGCTTTGCATGGTGCCCAGGTGCTCCGGATCGGGTCTGAAATTTCATCGGTTTTTCTCTCGCCCAGGTATTGAGGATCAGATTTGCAGTCTTTCTGCAGCCTGGGCTCCACTCACTGAGCTGAGACGTGCAGCTTTACCTCCAGGGTTTAGCGTGGGGCAAAGCGGCTCCTGCAACCCGAGGAACTTCCAGGGGCCTGGGTTTTCCCAGGAGTTCCCTTCTGGGAACTCCCCAGTCGCCAATTCCGCCTCAGTTATCTACCTTCTAGTGAGTCCAGTGTTTTTTTATTTGGGTTGAAACTTGTAGTAAATGAGTCTATAGTCTGTTTTTAGTCTTCAATTCCTATGTAGGCCTGGACGCAGTTATCTCAGCGTCTTTACCCTGCCGCCATCTTCCGAAAGTCCTGTATTATGTTTTTAAAGTGCAAAATCTATAATCTCCATAAGATATAATCTTAATTCAAATAAATATAGAAATCAAAAGTTTAGTACAAAACCAACCACAATGGATTGATAAAATTATAAAGCTGACTCTAATAACATTTTGAAGAATATTTTATTGCTTGCCCAGCCAGAAAGGTAGTTTGAAATAAATTAGAGGGGAGAAAAGTGGTTAATATCCTATGGGGAAATATAATTGGAGTCTTTGAGGTTATTTTCTCTATGGAACAGGTGTGAAGTATCTTCGCAGAAAACAAGACTTTCCTTAGTGATATAAAACAGTCAAATCTGGGTGCATTCCCCTGCTAGTTTGTGATTTTTGTATGAAACTATTCATGCCAGAGTTGACACTGAAATGGCATGTGTTTTTGCCTATTCTTAGGTTTTAAATAGTTTTCATTAACAACATAAGAATAGTTAATGGGCAATTGTTGAGCAGCTACTAAAACATGAATTTGGGAAAACATGAATCAAGCAGCCAAGAAGGAGGTGGTGCTACTGCACAAGGACCTGCCACAGCTGGGGGTGGGGGGAAGGAGTTATAGCCTGTGACATCGGTTACCCCACCCATGAATCTGGAGAATCACAGTCTGGGTCTCAAGAAAGTGGCCAAGAACCTCTTGACAGTGAAGTGACCTCTGCCCAAACAAAAACACAAATGGAGATTATGGCTTACAAAGTCCACGCCATGAAATGTGGATGCAATAAAAGTAGCCAGGTTAAAGGTGGTTTCCTAAAATAATCATAAAAAGCTCATAAAAACTTTGATCAACATAACTTCCAATATAACCTGATAACCAAATGTACACACAGATCCATTTTTTAAATCAGTCCATTTGGACAAAATACTATGATAAGGAGACCCTTAATCATGTCTTATGAATTACTTCAGTGACTGGCTACTTAATTAAAACAATATACCTAGTTTGTGTGGATAATTCATATCACACACATACACCTGCCTTTTCTATTTCAAAGAAATGTGTATAGGGCCCTCCCTGGTGGTGCAGTGGGTTAAAGCACTGCACTGAGAAGCTTAAGCCACTTCCGCATGAGTTCGATCCCTGCCTGCCCCAGAGGAGATCCACATGACGTGGCAGACCTCTCCTGACCCGCCCACTGCTCCCCTCAGCAGTGTACTTCATCGATCTGCCTGTTCTGCTCCCCACTCTGTCCCTGGTGAATCCTCTCAATTCCACATCTCTGGCCTGTCCCCCAGTTCTGTATGAATAAATAAAATAAATCTTTAAAGAAAAAAAAAAAGAAATGTGTCTATAGCTCATACTAATACAGTGTTATAAGTATGAAGCTAAATGGAAAGGGGAACATATATACTATAGAAAACATATTAATATGAAGACTATTTAAAATTCACAGAAGGAGGCTGAAGAATATATTTTGCATGACTTTATTTGGGGGGAGAACTTATTACAAGATTTTGTAGAAGTCTCTACTACTCTTTGCCACATAAGATGTACTGTGCTGTGCTGAACCCCTTCCAAGCTGCCTTGAGGTTCTTTGTTTACATCAGGCAGAGTCCAGTCAGGAGACAGAAGCCACTTCAGTCTCTTGAAGAAGGAAAAACTGCCACATAGAAGTGTTAGCTAGCAAGAAGGGGTTAAACACGAAAAGAGTAAAAGACAACACAGATAGCATATATGGGAAACAGACACTGCCTCTGAGGCTGAAGTAAGACCCATGCAAGCAAGCAATTTGGAAGAGGGCTTCAACTAGCCTGAGAGTCAGAAATTGTAGGGGGAAGATGGAAATGTGGCCTCTGGAGAAGAAGTTGAAAATATGCCCCAGGCCAAGGCTGATGGGGGATACCTCCCTCTGGGATACTGGGGCAATTCTTTGGGGGACGCTGGAAAAGTACCACTGCCAAGGTCATCTGCTGGCCTCTGCAGTCACATCATAGGATCCAGAAGAAAAGCAGCATGACCAGGAGAGATGTATGTCATCACTGTGATTGGGTGTCCCCTGCAGGGCTCATCCTGACACTATGCTGGGGTCCAGCTCCAGGTCATAAAGCAGAGCAAATGCAGGAGGTGGAGCCAGAGGCAAGAAGTGGGTAGTGGGCAGAGTCCACAGCGTTGGCTGCTCAGCTTCCATGCTCAATTTACACACATTTGAATGTTCAAATGACAGCACCATTCTAAATTATCATCTACAAAAAAGCTACCCTTATAAGTAAAGATCTCACCCTTATAAAATTAATAAAACATACTTTATACATAAATAAAACACCCTTATACATAAATAAAGCATACACACCCAGTCATTATATCCAACACTGTTATATTATTTCATCACGATTAGTCACAATCCCTTTGAATATTGTGTACCTAAAGACTATAATAGAAACCTAATCTCTAGAATGTTTATAAAACTATAGGGTGAGAAAAGAGACTAAGATGTGGTTGTTATATACAAATAACACAACACACTCACAAGAAGCAAGAGAACATGCAAAGCTGTTATACTCAAAATAGCTTGTTGCTGGCCAGAACCATCTTCTTACATTCTTTTCAAAAGTGTCCTTCCCTCAGCCACAACCACAGCAGGCCAAGGTCCTCTACCTGATGGAGCAAATACACCTTCACTCCTGTAGGTCAGAGTCCTTGCTAGTCCTGCCCTTCCGTTGGCTGTGTTTTTCTATGAAACTTCACCACTGAACTTGTAAGTACTAAAGGGCAATAAATTGATAACTGAGCCATGCTCCAGATGAAAGTTCTCTGTGGTTCACTTGCGTCTGAAAGGATTCTGCTTAGTCACCTCTCAAGTCAGCAGCACCTCCTTTGTATCAACACAATAGAAGAACCTAGATCCTTCTTCTGAGTCCCCTAAATTCACACAGCACTGTTTTACAGAAATTTTCTGAGATTCAGAAAACAGGTGTATGTCATCCATCCCAGAATAGGAAGTAAAGAGGAGAAATAAAACTCTTCTCATAAAAGACCAACAACAAGTGATCTCCCTAGAAATTTTGGATGACCACCTTTTCTGGAAATAGAATATAGAACCCCCAAAATAGAACTGTGACCCCCCTTTTAGCCTTGGGTTGCTTTGTACAAATTCAAATTAGGTAACAAACACTTTTTTATTTTTTAGAGTAATCCATTGCTTATATTTTCCTATCCAAGTTACATGAAATGCTATGAAGTAGATTTCATTACCAAAAATAATTTAAAACTGTCTTCCCATAATAAAGTCAGTCTATTGGAAACTACTATAAACTATAGCCAATGTCTCCTTCTTCTTCTAGCACAAGGCTAAAACTCAGGTCTCTCACAGCCGCATGCCATGTTCTGTCCTCAGAGCAGGAGGTTGAGACTCCCTTGTCACCCAGGATTGACCCATAGGCTGTGCCCAAGCAGTTTTCTCTCAAAGAGCCTCTGTGAGAGGGACAAACAGTGATGGGACCTAGGCATACATGGCCTCAGAGTTACAGGAGAGGAGGGGGACATAAAGCCCTGGGTGAGCCCCAACCTCACTGGAGCCTGAGGGGACCCCTTCTCCTAAAGGACCCACAGTCTCCCCCAAAATGAAAGGATTGTTCATGGGCACAGAGGGCTTCTGGATCTCAGCCTCCAGGGGGCAGAGGGTCAGGGACACGTCTCCAGAGATACACATGAAATATGGAAAGAGGGTCCCAGAGAAGGAGGCTGCAGTGAAGGAAAAAATGTGGGAACCCTCAGTCATGTTATAAAAGGAGACATCCCCATGATCATAGTCCAGGAAAACTCCCACTTTGTGGGGGTTTTCCCTAAGAGATAGCTTAGTGCTATTACTTGTACAGGCACAAAATCCTGATTCAAAATGTCCCAAATTCCAAAACCCCTTTTCTGGTGTTTCTTTGTACCAGCCTTCCCTGTTCACATTACTCCTACAGACCCCCACAGCCCACACACTTTTATCTCCACCCTTGACCTCCACCTCCCAGTAACAACACCCTGATGTGATGCCCTGGAGGCCCAGGATGCTGCATGTGTCTCCTACATCCTCAGAAGAGTCCTTCAAGTTCAGCGTCTTCTTATCAGAAGAGAGGGCAATACTGGAATGAGCAGAATGTGGATCAAGAGTGACAGACCCTGCAGAGAGAGGAACCAAGTATTCAAGGACACCTTCACCTATAACAAGGGTGCACACCTCACCACAGACCCATAGCTGCATGGGGGAGGGAGCATGCAGGAGAGGGAGAACTGCCAGGAAATGAGAGTGTTGTGACTGAAGACCACAGTCCTCTAAGCAGGGGGAAAAAAACACATGTCTGACTTGGGGTTAAATATGTCACATTGTCATGTGAAGACCAATATGGGCCAATATCAGCCACATCCACCGACCACAATTATATGACTATCACTGCCACCCTCATCCCCGATCACTGATGGTGCCTGCATCTGTATCAACACGGAGGACTGACAGAGAGGCCAGAAGCTGTAAGGGCTGCAGGTGGAGAAGCATCCAGGAAGAACACAAATTCACTCACAGGGCTGGAACTTCTCTTTCCGCCAATCTACAAGAAACCACACATTTCAAATGAGGGATATGGAGACCCACACATCAGGGCCATCATCTAGTCTTCTGAAACATCACTATGAAAAGTTTACAGAAAAAAAAAACTTACAAATATTAAGCTGAAGTGTTTCTCTCTTACAGACACACACATGCACACAAGCCATGTAACCACATTGCAACCCTCCCATGAAGACTAAGCTATGAATTTTAATACCGAGGGATTAAAAGATTGGGTATGACATGAACAAGATTGTTATTACCCAGACTTGCCTATCAAAATAAACTTTTTAAGTGCCTACCCTCACATTTTTTCTTGAAAAAGTAGTAGAAAAAAAATGAAAGACTGCTACTATTTATAAAAAATTGGCTGAGTTGAATTAAAGGTTGCCTCTAAGCCACAGGTAGAGAGAATTACAACTTAATATTACTGAACTTGGAGGAAAACTATCAACCATAAGAGGAGGGAAGTCATGATATAGCATCAGAGAAATCCTGCTTAGTTATAAGACAAAAGATCAGTTGGGGAAGGGAGAGAGGTTCAAAGGAGGAAACAAATATATACAGTGAGAGGATATCCATGACTTCTCTTAGCATTTTCATGTGGAGGTGGAAGCAAAAACATCTATATATAAAAAAAAAAAACTGAATATAGTCATCTGCTTCCCCAAATATCATGGAGAAAGAATAAAAGCACAGAAGAGAACCCTTGCTAGGTTAAGCCCACTCCAAAGACGCCCATGTCCTAAACCCCAGGCATGTCACTATGTCACCTGTCTGGAAAAGTGAACCTTACAGCTATGATCTAAATAATGAAACTTGAGGTGCAGATTAGCAAGGAACAACCAGGTAGGTCTTAATTAACCATTAGAATCCGTAAAAGCAGAGGGCTTTCTAGGCTTTGTACTCAGAGAAATAGATGTGACAACACAAGCAGAGTCAGAGACATGTTGTGTTGCTGGCTTGAAGACAGAAGAGGAGGCCCATAATTAGGGAATGCACAGGTCCTCCCAAAGCTGTAAAGGCCAAGGCTTCCAGAAACAGGCATAACCCTAGCTACATATTGAGAGTTTCTGACCTACAGATTTAGAAGACAGACATCTGTGTTAGTTTAAGTCGCTAAGCTTTTGGACATTTGTAGTATTTGAAAAAAGAATAATAGACTCATGTATAGTATGTGCCACATCCAACATAGAGGGAGGACCTGGAAGAGAAATGGTCTGAAAAATCATGAGGTCTCCACATCACCTGCACAAAGACACAGGAAATCTCCCATTCTCTATTGGAAAGTGGAGAGCCAAGGGGTACACAGAGACAGGAATCAGGGGAAGGCCTGGGTCAAGAGAAGGAAGCCACAGACCATCTGGGTCCCAGTGACCAAGCCCATGGACTTCACATGGAGTGAGGTGGGGGGAGGGGAGATCGAACAGAACCCCAGACAGCTATCTAGGCCTGTGCCTCCTCCACAAACACCAAACCTGGGTTATGAAGAACCAGATCAGGCTAGTTTCCCCATGGTGAGGACCTGAAATGACTACAGGAAAATCATGGGGAGCCACTGGTCCCATTGAGCCAAGGCCACATATTCTCCAACCTCCATACATCCACTGGGAAAAAGAAATGGAGATCACTGATAATACAACTAACAGACATCCAAAGATCTTGAAATGTCTTCTGTGGGGAGAGTCACTGCCCTAAAGGTGTCGAGAATTGGGGTTAAGATTTGAACACTTAGGGAATGAAATAAACAACATTTTCTTGCACATTTTTGATGTAAATAGGTGACAATTTTCACTTAAAATTTTCAGATAAATTAGTATTTCCATCTCCAATGATTTTCCACACACAGAAAAGATCACATAAAATATTAGGCTGCTAGAGGGGGAAAAAAATCACGATAAAAGATCAGTCGCCAGAAAGCACCAGAGAAATAGAAGAACTACTCAGCATGCCAGATAGAGAATTCATAATCATCATGATAAACAAACAAAAAGAAGATGAGAAGGAAAAAATATATATTGATAGGAAGAAAGCCATCAACGAGTTGAAGAATGCAAACAAGGAAAATAATGGAAGAAATGAAAAAGAAAAAAAACAATATGAGGCAAGTACTCAACGAATTGAAGACAGAAAATGAAAAATTAAAAAAGAAAATAGAAGACAGGTGATGAAAAGGTCACTAGAGGAGATAAAGAATGCTGGGAAAAGCAATGAAAACAAAACGGATGAAATGGAAGAACAAATCAGCACCCTCGAAGATTCAGAGATAAGAGAATTAAAACAGAAAAAAGAAAGAAGTAAAAAGAAAAAAGAAAAGAAACACTTCAAGATCTAACTAACACCATTATGAAAGGAAACATCAGAGTTATAGGTATCCAGGAAGGTGAAGAGAAAGGCCAAGGAATCAAGAAAAAATTCACAGAGATAACAGAAGAGAACTTCCCTAATATGAAGGAGATGAAAGTAGACATCCAAGAAGAAAGAACACCAAACTACCATGACGATAGGAGAAATACAGCAAGACACATCATAGTAAAACTACAAAGAATACAAGACAAGATAATGAGAATGACAAGAGGGAAGAAACAATCTATAAAGGGAAACCTATCACACTGAAATCAGATTTCTCAAAAGAAATACTACAAGCAACAAAAGAGTGGAGGGACATACTCAACAAACTCCAAAGCATTAAATGACAACCAAGAATACTCTACCCTGCAAAGCTCTTCTTCTTCTATGAAGAAAGAATAAGGCCATCATCAGACAAACAGAAAGTTCACAATTTTCTCATGACTAAACCACCACTCCAAAATATACAAGAAGCCCTCAAACCAAATCCAAGAGAAGAATAAGCAAAAACAGTTCAAAACAAGGAATAAAAATAAATAAATAAATAAATAAAATAAAATACAAAAAGACCAAAAAAATGGCAAGCATAAATGCCAGTCTATCATTATCATCCCTAAAAAACTCATCAATAAACTCATCAATAAAAAGACACAGGGTTGTAGGATGGATTAAAAAAAAAGAAGAAGAACAACGTTCTGGTGCCTACAGGAAACACACCTAACTACAAAAGATGAAAACAGATTAAAAATAAAAGGATGGAAAACAATCCTACAAGCAAATGGACCCCTCCCCCCAAAAAAAGGCAGGAACAGCTATACTTATATCAGATAACATAGGCTTCAAACTTAAAAAGGTTAAAAGAGACACAGAAGGCCACTTTATGATTAAGGGGACGGTACAAGAAGACGTAACAATAATCAATATATATATACCAAATGAAGGAGCACCAAAATATATCAGGAAATTACTGTTACCTATGAAAACATACATCAGAGAGAATACATACATGTAATAGACTTCAACATGCCACTCTCAACAATGGAAAGATCAACAAGACAAAAAATAAACAAAGACACTAAAGCTATGAACAAGCACCTGGACGACATTGGTCTAACAGACATCTATAGAATACTTCACCCCAGAAAATCTGAGTACACATTTTTCTCAAATCCACATGGATCATTCTCTAGGATTGACAACATACTGGTTCACAAGATAAATACCAATACATACACTAAGATCGAATCAACTATATTCTCTGACCATTAAGGAATCAAACTAGAAATAAACCATATGTAGAAAGCAAGAAATCCACCTACCACATGGAGACTGAAACCCACACTAATGGAGGACTATTGGATCAATTAGGAGATCAAAGAAGAAATTTAAAAATACCTGGAGAAGGACGAGAATGACAACACAAGTCCCCAAAACTTATGGGATACACTAAAGGCAGTTATAAGAGGAAAATACATAGCAATATAGGCTCACATAAAGAAACAAAAAATAACTCAAAGAAACAACCTAGTCTCCCACCTTAAAGAACTGAAAAAAGAACCACAAAATAACCCAAAATCCAGTAGAAAATAGGAAATAATAAAAGTCAAATCAGAAACAAGTAAATTGGAAGTTAGGAAAACAGTCAAAAAAATCAATGAAACCAAAAGTGGGTTCTTCAAAAAAAACAAACAAAATAGACAGGCCACTAACCAGGCTCACAAAGAAAATAACAAGAGAAAGCATAAATAAACAGAATCTTAAATGAAAGAGGAGAAATCACAACAGATCCAGCAGAAATCAAAGGAATAATCAGAGAATACTATAAACAGCTATGTGCAAACAAGTTCGACAATTTAGCAGAAATGCACAAATTCCTACAACTCTACAACCACCCAAAGCTAAATAAAGAAGAGATAGAACAACTAAGCAGGCCAATTACAAGCAAGGAAATTGAAGAAATAATCAAAACCTCCCTAAAAATAAAAACCCAGAACCAGATGGATTTACAAATGAATATTACCAAACATTCAGAAAAGAACTAGTGCCTATTCTACACAGATTTATCCAAAAAATCGAAAAAGAAGGAAAACTACCACATACTTTCTCCGAAGCCAACATTACACTAATACCAAAACCTAACAAAGAAAACACAAAAAAAGAAAACTTCAGACCAATCTCCCTAATGAACATCAACTCAAAAATCCTCAACAAAATTTTAGCCAACAGAATCCAACAATCCAAGAATAATACACCACGACCAAGTGGGCTTTATCCCAGAAGCAGAAGGATGGTTCAACATCAGAAAATCAATTAATGTAATCCATCACATCAACCCACAGAAGAATAAAAACCACATAATCATATCAATAGATGTGGAGAAAGCATTCAACAAAGTTCAATACCCATTTATGTTTAAGGGCCTCGAAATCCTCAGAATAGAAGGACCATACCTCAACATTATAAAAGCCATATATGACAAACCCACAGCCAATATTATTCTCAATGGAGAAAAGTTGAAAACCTTTCTTTTGAGATCAGGAACAAGACAAGGATGTCCATTATCGCCACTTCTCTTCAACATAACATTGGAAGTTCTAGCCAGAGCAATAATACAGGAAAAAGGCGTACAAGGAATCCAAATAGGGAAAGAAGAAGTAAAACTATCCTTATTTGCAGATGATATGTTAATTTACATGGAAAACCCTAAAAACTCCACAGAGGAACTAATCAAAACCATCCACCAGTTTAGCAAGGTAGCAGGATATAAAAGCAACACACAAAAGTCAGAGGCCTTCCTATACACAAACAACCAATAAGAAGCAGAAATAAAAAAAGCATCCTCTTTTCAATTAAAACAAAAAGAATCAAATACCTGGGAGTCAACCTAACAAGAGATGTAAAAGAACATTACAAAGAACATTATAAACACTGTTAAAAGAAATTCAGGAAGACACCATGAAATGGAAAGACATCCCCTGCTCATGGGTTGGGAGAATTAACATCATCAAAATGGCCATCCTACCACAAGCAATATACAGATTTAATAAAAGTCTCAATGACATTCTTCAAAGAAATAGAAAAAAACATTGATGAGATTCATATGGAACAACAAAAGACCTCAAGTAGCCAAAACCCTCATGTCTAAGAAAAAACAAAATGGAGGCATTACTATCCCAAACTTCAAGCTATACTACAAAGCCATCATAATCAAAACTGCATGGTACTGGAACAAAAACAGATATACAGACCAGTGGATTCAGATAGAAAACCCAGATATAAACCCACAGGTTTATGGACAGCTGATCTTTGACAAAGGAGCAAAGAAGATACAATGGAACAAGAAAGTTTGTTCAGCAAATAGTGTTGGGAAAAATGGGAAGCTACATGCAAAAAAAAAAAAAAGAAACTAGGTCACTACCTCACTCATACACAAAAATCATCTCGAAGTGGATTAAAGACCTAGACATAAGAACAGAAACCATAAGATACCTGAAAGCAAAAATGGGCCAAACACTCCACGACGTACACTTCAGCGACATCTTTAAAGATAGAGCAACCAATGCCACAATAGTGAAAGCAAGGATAAATAAATGGGACTACATCAAGTTAAAATGTTAGTACAGCAAAAGAGACATTACAAAAAACAAAAAGGCATCCATCTTACTGATTGAGAAAAAATATTCTCACACAAAACTAGTGATAAAGGACTGATCACAAAAATATACGGAGAACTGATGAAACTCAACAAAAATAAAGTAAACAACCCCATCAAAAAATGGGCAGAAAAGCTAAAAAGACACTTCTCCAAAGAGGAAATGCAGATGGCCAACAAACATATGAAAAAATGTTCAACTTCACTTGTAATAAGAGAGAAGCAAATTAAAACCACGATGAGATATCACCTCTCCCCAGTGAGAATGGCACATCTTCAAACAAGCAACAACAAATGTTAGTGAGGATGTCGAGAAAAAGGAACTCTCCTGCACTGCTTATGGGAATGCAAACTAGTACAACCACTATGGAAAAGTTTTGGAGGTTCCTCAAACTGCCAAACATGGAGCTTCCATATGATTAGCAATCCCACTCCTAGGTATCTACCCAAAAGACACAAAAACACTGATTGAAAAAGATACCTGCACCCCCATGTTTATTGCTGCTTTATTTGCGATTGGAAAGACATGGAAGCAGCCCAAATGCCCAAAAGTGGATGACTGGATGAAAAAGATATGGTACATATATACAATGGAACATTACTCAGAAACCAAAAAAAAAAACCCACAGGTCTTTTGCAGCAACTTTGATGGAGCTGGAAAAGATCATGCTTAGTGAGATAAGCCAGAAAGAAAAAGAAAAATACCAGATGGTTTCTCTCATAGCAGGAGTATAATGTACCAGGCGAGAAAATAATAAGAATAATGAACTGCCAAATACCAGAGGCATTTTGCAGGAGTGGAGTGGGGAAAGGGATCAAAAACCATTGGGGGAAGGAAATGCATTGGACTATGGTGATGGCACATGGTGATTTGGTGTTGGGAAGCTCACGGGGTTTACAAATGAGATGAAAAAATCATGTAAAAATAAACTATTATATTATTAAATATATATATATTAGGCTGATCCATGGGTGTGTAGAAAACATAATCATAGCCAGGTGCACCTGTGGACCATGGTGGATCACTGTTACTGGTGCGCTAAGCACACTCATGTGAACAGGACCCAAAACGGGCCTTAAGTTTACCTGACCACTGGCCAGACCTCCTGGGAGAAACCTTGAGCAGACTCTTCTGGTTCTCCCTAGGTCCATCATCTGGACAAAAGGTATTTCCTTCCTGGTGTGGGCAGAGGTGGTTAATGTCCCTTGAAAAGTTCTACAATGTAAAACTGTATTCTCCATCTTGTTCCCTCGGCTCTTCCCACTGATTATTTTCTCTTCCTCCCCATGCCCACCCAAGATTTGTTCCCCATCCTTTCTCTGTAACCAATTATAACTCAGCTAATATCTCCTATGCAATCATCACACAATAAAACCAACCAACACCACACATCAGGCCTACCATAATTCTCCTAAAGTGGGAGATTATGGCTGTGAACAAATGAGTGTTGCATTTTCCCTGTTACACAGATATATACTCGGGATTTTGCGTTAATGTCAGATCTTTCACAGGTCCCACATGAGCCATAAACTTCCCAGAGATTCCGAGGCCCAGATTCAGAACACCTGCCCTAAAGTAACTAATTCTCAGTAACCAAAGTGGCTCAGAGGAGGAAATCCAGCTACACGCAAAATGGGGAAGGACACCAGACCAAGAAGAAGCAAGGCCTGAGATCTAAGCAGACAGACAGGGTTTCTGGGCTAAGATCAGCAATTCCTGACCTACACAATTCTGCAATTGTTAACCTGCTCAGCCTCTCCTCACACTGACCCCCACTGTCCTCGCCACAGGAAGGACATGGTAAAAAGATATAAGAGGGTGTCCAGACCCCCACATGACCTGAAGGAGAGACAGAGCAGGGGAAGGCACATCTGGGCACACAGTGGGCTGCAGGTCTCAGATGGAGGCTACAGAGTGAAAGGAGACCAGTGACCCCAATCCCTTCCTGGTGGTCCCTAATATAGACGGGGCAGAAGGGAGGCTGGAAGAGGTCCCAGGACCCTCAGGGCCACTCACCTGCATACAGCTGGGCCTTCCTCCAGGCTGGAAGGGAACACACAGGTGAAATTCAGCACAGCCACCTGGCATGGGGCCCCCAGGCCTGGGCTCCCTCTGTTCTGCAGGGGAACCTCTCTGGGGGGAGGGGAGAGGCTGAGGGTCATGATGTCCTGTCCTGTGCAGACTCAGGGATGGTGGGGATTCTGGCTCAGGTCAGGAGCCTGAAGGGCACACTGACCCACCCTGCCTGCTGCTGCTTGGGGCTTGGACAAGTCACTGAGCAGCCCTGGACCTCAAAAACCTCAAAATTCTTATTCTATCTTGGTTCAGTTTTGTCACTAAGAATCAAAAATTATATTATGTGTGAAAATGTTTTAAGAAATAAAGTAGAAATTATTCCATATTGTAATAAAACCTAGATCGAGTCTTTTTCTGGCAAAATATGATATAATGATATGAGACATGCTCTGGGGTAAAAGTCACCAATGTGGTTCAGCATGCAGAAGGACCCACCACCCACCAGGACCCCCCACACTGGGTAGGAAAGAGCCAAAAACTAGGAGAATCTGGGAGTGTTGTCTAGCCTCCCACCAGCTCTACCCCAGGAAAGGGGTCCCCATGCCTATGCTTAGACAAGGAGGGACACCTGGGCACAGGGGACCCAGGACATCTGGACAAATACTCACCATACAGGTAAGCTTTCTTCCTCTGGTCTGAAAAGCAACACAGGGGACAGGTGAACTAAGGACCAGAATGTCTCCTATGAAGGGACACAGAATTCAGGAGGGAGACAGAGCTTACCTAGCATTGCCTGGAGCTCAGCTGAAAGAGAGCCAAAAAAAAAAAACAGCTATCTGGTTAGCATGTCCCTCTCAGCACCCACTATCCTGCTCACTACCTCTGTCTTGCCTCACCTGTGTCCTTCAGAGCCTCCTCCTTGGCCTGTCTGTCCTCCTCCTTAGCCTGGCACAGTGTCCCCTGTTCCCGCAGCTCCCGCATCCGTACGGAATGTTCTCTCCATGTGCAGCAGGCAGCCCCCAGGAGCAGGAGCAGCAGCAAGGGCAGGATGACCAGGAAAGCTGGCTTCCAGGGGGAGACCCGGGGGAAGAAGGGCTCTGCAGCCAGAGACCATGCAGACACGCCATCAGGAGCCCAGGACCCCCAGCCTAGTTCCCTGGGGGTGCCAGCCCCTCCCTCTGGCCCTGCAGGGAGTGGGGAGGGCTGGGGAGTAGCACCAACCTGGGATGACCATGGTCATTTCCTTCTCCTGGCCCAGGGTTGGGTTGAGGATGGAGCAGGTCACGCTCCCCACAGCGCTGTCTCTCACCACTAGGGCGGCCTCCACGCTGAACAGCCCCTCAGAGTCCTTAGTATAGGCCTCAGAGAACTCATGGATCTTCTCCCCACGTGGGTCTCTCCACTGCACCTGGGGCTCCGGGAACCAGCCCAAAGCCATGCACACCACGCGCACCCCGTCCCCCTCTGGCCCTGTGATGTGCACTTGGGGGGCAGAGCCCATACCTGCAGAGGGGAGATGAGAGCCAGAGGGTCAGGCTCACCTGTGCACACCTCCAAAAGAGGCTGTCAAGGTGCATTCTGGGGAGTCTGGAGATAAACTGCTGACTGCAGGGAGCAAGGCATGACCCAGTCCCAGAATCAGGGAGGTTATAGGACTGAGGGGCACAGAGGACAGGGACTCAAAGCTACCAGGTTGAAAGTCCATGTCTAAGGGAAACAGAAGAAATTAATCCCGGGTTCCATCCACCCTTCTCACCTCACACTCACCCAAGGCATCTGTTACACATCAGCTTCCTCTCCTCTAAATACTTCCCACATTATATTAATGACAATCCAACCTCCTGAACTCCCCTGCCTGGAACCCACGCCCCTGTGTGTCATCATTCCCTGACGGTGCCATACACCCACACTCAGACTCCAGAATGAATTAATGACTCTACCCACCTGTGACAGATATGAAAACATCCCAATTCTTCAACTTTATTTATTTCTAACTTCCCTCTCCTTCACACATTTTAGTGTCTTCTCTCTGTGCCCTTGGATGGGACGATGACCTGACTCAGCCCCCCAAAAATCCCTTCCCTCCCCTTCCCAACTTACACACCCTGTGCCTACCAAGGCCCAGCACTGCAGCCCCAGTAAATAGGTGTCAATTGCTAGTAACCACAATCCCCATGCTGGGTGCTCCTGCCTCTGGCACCCCACCCATCAGCTTCAAGGGTTTGGAAACTTTGCTGGGGGATCTCTAGAACCTGCCCAGGGGTGCACCTCTAAACCTCCTGACCACCACAGGGAGCATACATCACTCTCTCTCTCTCTGTGCACCTAATTCCAAGAACATCCGATTATCCCGATTATCCCCTGCTATCACCACCTGAGTCACTCATCTGTCAGAGACCACGCCAGAAACATCACTTATCCACCAACTGCCATGGCTTCCCATGCTCCCAGACACACCAGCCCAGTCTTGCATGGGAGTTTCACCAGGCTGTTCCCTGGGCTTGGAAATCTTTCCCTTAAGAATAAATCTCTGAACTCCAATCCTGCTTCCTTTGAGCTTTTTTCTCAGATCATCAAAAGGCCCAAGTTGAGCCTCTATATTACACAGAAGCCTTCTCTCCCTCCCACCCCACATCCTGGCCCTTTAATGCTAAATGCTTACCACCTTCTAAAACCCTCTGTTAGTTGCTTGTCCATTTATTTATTGATTGATCTTAGTAAATAAACTTCACAGGTCAAGAGTCTCTGTTAGGCTCATTGGTGAGCCCAGGCATCCACAGCAGCCCCTGGCACTTAGCAGAGGCAGGAGGCTCTATAGGTTTGTAATAGAGTGAGAGAGACTGAGCAGTCCTTTCCTCATCTATCAAATGAGGGTCTGATTTATTTGGTCCCTGGGGTTCCTCCCGACATAATCCTAACAGATCGAGTCACCAACCTGCCACCTTCAGCTCCAAACCAGCCTCTTCGTAGAAGCTGTCCTTCCTGAAGAAGCAGGTGTACTGGCCATTGTCTGGGACACGGACCCCGTGGATGCGCAAGGCCGCCTGGCCCCTGACCAGTAAGTCCTCGACCAGGGAGGTCCGACCCGCATACTGGGCCAGCTGCTCCTCACGGTTCTCATGCTGGTTTTTGTAGCTGAACGCGGCTTCTGAGAACTTGGAACGGAACCACCTCATCTCCATGTTCCTCACGTTCATGGCGGGCGACACACGACAGGGCAGCATGATGTCTTTGCCCAGCACTGCCACGATGGGGTCCGTGGGGCCGATCACCTGGAATTCCTCTGCGACACAGACACGGGACAAGAAAGATGAGAGAGGGGGGAGGAGAGGAGGGGAATGCACGCCGCGTTCTGGAGGGCCAAGGTCAGTGGACAGGTGACCGGTGAGATGCCTCTGACCCGTGGGCATGAGCAGTGCATCTCTGCATCTGGGGAAGGCCTTCTGGACCCAACTTTGTGATCCAGGAATGATGGCAGAAGCCCCACATCTCCCTGTGCACCACCCTGGGTCCTTCTAGAAGGACTCTAATTCCATGGTTCTCCCCCAACATCTCCACAATTACCATTGCTGGGCACCTCCCTAGGGCTGACTCAGTGGGTGCTCTCAAAGGGGCCTGAGGATGCAACATTAGTTGCAGGCTGTGTGAACCACAACTATAATGTGGCCAACCTCAGGACAGCCTGGTGGTGACTGAAGAGAATTCTGTGCTCTGATGAGAAATGTGTGGGCCCTCTGCACACCAGGTGTCCCCACCCCGCTTAACTTAGCGTCTTTCTCATCCACTGAATTAGCTGTGCAGGAAGAACCAGCGTCATTTATTAATTTTGTTATAGGCCTGCTTCCTTTGAGCTTTAACTCTGAGGATCCCAAATCATGGCTCTGACCCCCTCAGGGCTCTGGGTCTTCTGACCCAGTGGACAGACTGATGTGATACCGCTGCAGGGTGAGCTCTGCTGGACGTCGAGTGACTTCTCACCTTTCCTGTGCCAGCTTGGCCTGAGTCATCGCCAGCCCTCTTCTGGAGGATGGGGTAGCCTTGTCTCCCTGTGCCTCCCAACCCACATCTGGGACAGCTAGCTATATATTTACCCTTCTCAAACCTCTCATGTCTCCACATTCCCACAGTGACCCAGAGACAGACTCATAGAGGTGACTGTCTAGTACCTCTCTACATCCGGCTCCTCTTTCTCTCCCCTTGCTCTAGCTGATCCCCACCCGATTTGTACTTAAACACTCAGCACCAGCCAGCCCCCACAAGCTCTTCCCTCCATGGATCCTCACCCCAATACCCCTCCCAGGGCTTTGTTCCCATTCCACCCTCTACACTGACCCCCTTGATGGACACAGCTGCCCCCACACTCCTCCATCCCCTGCTGCCTGATCTGACCCTGCCTGTCCACCTCTCAGCCCCTCCACAGGGGTCTCTGTTCTTCATTATTCATTATCTCCTGTGAGTAAGCAGCTCTCTGAATACAGTTTCAGAATTTGTCTATGTTATACACAATACCGAGCACTGATATATAAACAATGGTGGGATGAAGTGATTTAATAACTGACAAGTGTTTTCAATGCAACTAAAGTAAAAGCAAAAAATGAGAGGAAAAGTATTTCAATATTTTTGGAAGTTACCTTTCTTAAACATAAGCCCCTCACTGAGCAGTTACTGCCCCGCCCCCACCACCACTCCTGTTGCAGCTCAGTGACTGCTCTTACCTCTGTCCTAACATAAGTGGTCGAGAGCACCCCACCTTTCTAGAGCCAGGGCCCCACATACAGCCTCATTCCTGAAGGAAGCACTCCTGGAGTCCCTGGACCCACCAACTGGAGGGAGACACAGGACAGGGAGGGACACACTCACCTGCGGACCCCTCAGGGGGCAGCTGGAGGAGGAGCAGCAGGCAGGGGAGGAGGCAGAGCACAGAGCGGGAGCAGGAGCGGGGCGCCATCTCCTCAGGCTGGGGAGACACAGGGCAGGAGGCAGCCAGGACACACAGAGGAGCGGGCAGCCAGGGGCTCTGGGCCAGGGGGGAGCAGGGACCCTTCTCCCCCTACCCCCCAACCAACAGAAGACATTCTAACTGATACATTATGTTAATAGTTAATAGGAGGAGGGGTGATCACGAGAACATTAACAGCATTTCCCTTCCAAGGTGGGAGAATTACAAGAAGTTATATTGGAAGTCACTACATGTCCTTCACTACATGACGAGCAGGCCAGCGCCTGCTGTGGTCCTGCCCCTCAGTGTGAGCAGGTGACCCTGAGAAGTCTCAGGACACAGACATGTCCCCAAGGAGTTGGGGCCTCCCACAGCCTCAGTCCTGCTCTGTCTTCTTGGTCAGCTCACCTAAAGGCCAGTCCCTCCCAGCCCTGACCTGCAAGGACAAAGACAAGGTCAGGAGGACTAAGGGGAGCAAATCAGGTTCCACTGAGTGAGGGCTCATCCAGCCCCCTCTAACCTAGGGGGGTTCCTGCCTCAAGTGAGGGATTCTGTGGGACAGAGCATCAGAGAAGGGGAGAGTGCTGTGCAGAGAAACACCCTCAAACCACTTAATTGCAGGAGCCTGGGGAAACAGGAGATGATTCAGGAAGGGCAGATGTTGGGGGCTGACTATGAGGTCCCCTCTGGACTTGGCCACTCTCCATGTGACCGTCTTCATCAAACTCAATAATTTCCTGCCTCAGTTTCATCATCTGTAATACAATATTAACATTTCCCTTCCAAAGTTGGAGAATTACAAGAAGTTGCTTTGGCTGAGACACAACATGGCATTAAAACAGGGTCCTGCCTCAGTGGGTGTCACAGACGCATCCTTGAAATAAATGACCTGTACCCACAGTGAGGTTGTGCCGGGTCATCTCAGAACTGCGCCATTCCCAGTGCCCCCCCCCACCCAGCCCCATCACATTTCAGCCTCCTCCTTGCAGCCAGCGTCTCTCCACTTTCCTCTCCTTGGTAGGCAGATATCCTCAAGACCAACATACCTGTTCTGAGAGCCTGGGACTTATAGAGCATCTCTCGGAGCTTGAGACGTTTCAGGGTTTCCAGCAAACCCCAAATCTTCCTGTAGTGAGCATCTCAGGAGCCATGCTGGGGGACAGGGGCCCACATGGTTGAGAGAAGGCAGTTCCCAAGGGAAGAGAGAGGCAGAGCTTATCACAGATTGAGGGTGTCTGTAGATACCAGTCCTGGAGCCCCAACTAAGCTCTCTGAAGAAATACAAGTCTCATTCTCAGGCTCCTTCTACTTCTTGAAAGTGAAAGCTGAAATGCTTCCCCATCTACCCTCCTACCCACCCACCCCCGCCCTTTGGACTGTGCACCATGTTATCAGCCAGGAAACTATAGGATCAGTAGATCCAGCAGAGGGGAGAGGCAGGCACCCTGACACCCCCACAGGCACAGGGGAGGTGTCCACCCAGCACCCACTGTTGAGCACCCACTGGAGTCCAGGTTGCTTGGTCTCCAGACCCAGAAATAGGGGTGAGTGTGGGGCCCAGTAAGGACAGACTCTGAGCCCTGTGCAGAACTCGGCCTGTGCTTCTGGGGACCACCTCCATGGCAACTGTCACCTCACATGTCAGGGCCCCACGGGGGCCCCAGTAGCCCTAGGGGGCCTTTTCTTCTCACAGCACTAACAAGAAGCCCTCCACCCTGGACAACAGGAGTTCCCCTGGGCACAGGAGCTGCTGTACCTGGTCCTGCCCACACTGCATGGACGGGACTGCAGCTTGTGCAGACGTCAGTGTTACCCTGACCTGGTCCCAGGGACAGATCCTGCCCCCAGGACACAGGGTCACCAGGAAGACCTGAATCTGTGTCTTCAAGGAAACCACAAAACCTGGGCCTTCACTTCCTGTGGTTTCCCCTCTCACAGAAAGGCACCTGTGTCCCCCAGTTATCTCTGCCAGACAACCCAGGGTCACCTTCGCAGTCCTCTCCCCACACATTTTACTTCCAATCTACTGAATGTTCAGCTCATTTCCATGACCAGCACCTGTTCCAAGATGCCTTCATTTTCCCACTGGCCCAAAGGCCTCTGCCACACCTCAGCCCCAAGTCCTCCAAGTCACTGTTGTCTACATCATGACCCTGTTCATGTCACCTCCCTGCCACATCCTTCAAGGGACCCCTCTACTTAAAGGAGGGGCTCCCAGGGCTACCCCTCCCCTCTAATACCCTCCCATTACCCCCCAGGCCCCACTCCTGGCTCAGGTGACCCCTCCAATTCAGGGAGCTCTCCCAGCATCAGGCTTCCCCACCATCCTTGATGGTCCTGCCGCCTCTTCCCCAAACCCTCACCGTTCAGGTCTCATGTCATATGACCTCACGTTAGAGGAGCTTCCCCAACCTCCCAGTGCCTCTTGTGCCTCCACACCTGCTTATTGGGCTTGGGGGGGCCTGTTCACCACCACAAGCTTGGGGAACCCTGTGGGGTCCCTGGAGGAGGCCTGGTGCGTCCTGCACTTGTCCAGCAGGGAGGGCCCTCACCAGCCTCAGCTGAGCTTGTCTGCAGAGATGAAGCTACTGCTGCTCATTGGCCCCTCAGCCTTGTCCACTCAGAAAACGCCTTAGTCTGCTGAGAACCCCACAATGTCCTCTGACCTGAACACCAGCTTCTGATGGACACAGCATCCACCACTTTCCCATGTTGGTTTTTCGATTCCCCTCAAACATAACTGATGACAAATCTCACCTCAGTCATCTGGAAACTTATTCAGGTCCGCACCTATGTCACCCCCAGGCCTACTCAGGCTCAGGGCCCCAGGCAGTGACTGGTCAGGGTGGCCCTCCCCGCCCTCCTCCAGGCTGTTGTCCTCCCATCACATTCTCACACTAGGGGCCAACTCCTCAGAGTCTCAGCTCGCACAGCAGGACTGTTCCTGCAGCTCACCCCCCATCCCAGGGGCCAGCTGTGTCTGTCCTCACGGAGCAAGACTGACTGAACCCTCAAGCTCAGAAACACACAGACACATGAAATGGCAGTCTGGTCTGAGATATTAAAATTCTGGGTAAAACCAGGAATTTGGTGCATACTTAGCCTCAGTAACATTGGGAAAATCCATCTAAATCTGAAAATTATGAAAAAGACCAGGAATAGAAGTCTCCTCTGTATTTATGATCCTCTGCCACCCTGCCCCTGCCCAATGGGGACATTTCTCAAGTAATGAGATATACTAGAAAAATTAATGAAGAGACAGAGGGAAAAACAAGCATCACCTGAGCACCTCCTGAGTGCCAGGAGCGGGCTGCACAGGTGGTGTCTCAGCCACTGGTTTCTCACATCTGCAGGCAGAGGTGAAGACCTGAGTCCTGTCCTCAGTCAGCAACACTGGTCAGGGCCCTCCTGGGGGAGGGGCTGTGCTGCAGGAGAGGCCCCACCACCACCCCACTCTCAGCCCAGCGCCGC